TAAACCAAATAACTACTGTCTAAGAAATCTTAGAGGAACATTCAAACTGGTAAGCAATGTACCAATTACATACTGTCTAACAAGCCATAGAAACAAACCATTCAAATTGGTCGTTGTTGAATAATGTGTAAAAATGTACAGAGTTTAGGGTCAGGATGCGACATCACTAGTTGCTTGTACGAAATTTTAAAATAATTTTACGAGTGCTTGATATATATTATGTGAAAAGGTAATATAATCTTAATGGAAATAAATATATTATATAATTATATTAGTGGGACTTTTTTTGTTTTGTTTTTTAAAGAAAATACGTTTATATACGTACCTTTATGTTTAGGAATGAGAGATACCATATATCTGGTACCGTATCGCTTGTTTTCATATACTGTACGTAACCTTCCCAATATATACTTTTCTTTAACGTTAATGACTTTAAATGTTATAGTGGGGAACGACTAAGCAGGGGAAGCATGGTCTGTGTGTAATATTACTTTGCAATAACACTGCTAGTAATTTCTGTCACATCTTTATTTATTGGCATTATACGGGTTTCTAATAAAAATAATGTATAATAGCATTTCAATTCTAATTTATTTGTTACACGCTTCTGCTGATGACGCAACAATGTTTAGTTGAAATTATATTATGCATTCTTCTTATACAAAACTCATATAGGGCCACTAAAGAAAGCTGTGTTAAAAATTAATATCGCTCTTATTATGAAATGAAGGATTCAGTTGAGAAATTTTACAGGCTTTAAATTATTATCTATAATAATAAAATGGCGTGTCTGTGTTTGTGTAACCGCCATAACACCAAGAGGAAAGAACCTAGAAACCTAAAATTTTGCACTCATACTAAGTGAACCTTGAGGGTGTGTACCTGGGTATTATTACTTATTTTATCCACGTGCGTGCGCGTGCGCATTTTTTTTAATGAGGCAAGCTAACGAAAAACCACATAGAAATGAAGTGGTTCCTTATCTTACAAATAAAAATCACAGACAGACAGATACGCTCTTTGATTATAGATGTATAGCCCGACAAAAATGACGAGGCAAGTACTACTACCCCATAGTATACCCTGTAATATGTCAGTTAGATTAACTACTTCAAACATATAGAAAAGCCA